AGAATCTCGAAATGATAGGATTTACAGTTTACAAACACGACAAACCTGTAAAATGAATTTGTAAATTTTATAATTCCCCTACAAAAATGTATCTGTAAATGACAACTTGTAACATAGCTGATGAGAATTTACTTTTAAAAATCAAACTTGCAGTAATCTCACGTGGTTATCTTGAACGGCCGACCTTAAAAACGCTCAAACAATTCAACGGCACATTCCGTCTATAACGACATTGCAGTTTAATGCCAAATGAAGGATAACTGTTATTACCAACAGCTGAAAAAAACTAAAAATTCTTATACTGATAACTTCAGTGCCAAACACCAAACAACGAAACTGTTAAATAAGTTGTATACACATATATACATGAAAACAGCGAAGTACAAAGCCACATCAATATTACGGAAACTCAAATATTCTTTAATAAACTTTTGTGCAAATACCACCACCTACGATACATTTCTTCCGGTCAACCCGAGCTCCGTTATGCCCACATCATTTTTAAATTCCAATCCATTGTCTTCCGAAACTTCGATAATTCCTACATCAAGAATATCAACAACTTCCACCAACTTAACAAGCTATTTGGCTTCAATCGCAATTAGAATTTCTTTTCCAAGTTCTCATAACGATGAAGGTTTTGCGGCGGCAAAATGCCAACTGAGTACTGGATTATTTTTCTGATACTCAAGTACAGGATGATTAAGTTTTTTAGAGCTTAGTCTTAAAATGGGCGTCACTTTCTTCAGTTTTAAGCCCACAGAAACCTTGTCACTTTGTAATCTGTCTCATAAATCCCAAAAGACTTTTCTGACACTCACAAGATGCAATTTTTGTTTAAACCTTATAGAAAGGTTTGCATGACTCACATTTACGACGGTCTTTCAGTGTTGAAAAGGTAGAGCGAAGGTTTTTTTAATAGGCTTAACTAGTTGCTTTCAAATATCACTGCTGAACATTTTCGTTGACACGTTATCTGGCTTGATAATCTGGGAAAATAGTTGAGATCGATAGAACTGTGTCTAAGAAGCGCAGGTTTACTCAAGCTAGGATGGTGTGTGAATATCGATATTTTAAAGCACCAAAAAGGGGCTGTTTTTGAGTAGGCTACAATTTCGAAGTTTTCGACCCTGATGGTTGTGAACTGCTGACTTAACAGGGTTAAGAATTAGGTAACCATAATTTTTCTAAAAAAATTTTACCAATCTGAAGGTTTGATGCAACTTTTTTGATCAAGTTCGGACACTTTAACAATAATTATTTTATTTATTTCTTAAAAATTAGTCGCTTAACCAGGTTGTAATTTAAAACTGCAGAATTGTTTTCTTTTTTGCAAATACCGACAATAAATGTATTCTTTCATAAACCAAGAACGGCACAATACCCCATCTAAACACCGAAGAATACTGCAGTTTCCAGAGATACAGTTGGACACAGCTCATTTTATGGTTACCAATAAAATTTCCCTTACAGTGTAATAGTGTGATACTTTGTAGCGGGAACTGTAAAAAGTTAAGTAGTTAACAGAGAGGAAATGAAACTGATTTCAAAACAGTTTGTTGTTAAAGTAGAAACAATAAACTTATATTGAAGCAGAGGATGTTAATAATATTTGAAGAAATCATGACTTGTTTTAAATCTAAAAATGAGTTTATTTCTGCATTTGATGACTGCATCAAAGTCTTAAATCTACTCATTCTAACAACTTCGAAATCTTTTATGAAATATTCAGAGGCAAACAATCATAATTATCTTTTTAACAGAACATTTCTAAAAAGTAAACTTTAAAAAAGCCGTTTTTGTTTTTTTGCAAGAAAAAGCGTTAATTGGTAATGATAAAAATATCAAAAAAGTTGTTCAGAAAGTAATAAAGGATGTATTAAACATTGTAAAAAGCAGTATTCAAAGGGATGTTTTAACCAGTGCAAACAAGTAACTTTTTTTGTTCGCAAATAATCGCAAGGTACCGGCTTATCCAACATTTCTGCTTGTTGCCAACGTGAACTGAAAGTTAGAAAATATAGTGATCAATTTTCTGAATACCATCTTTAGTACCATCAGCAAACATAAAATTTATATTTTAATATATCTGTACAGTTTTTTTCGGAACAGCTGTTGAAATATACCTAATTTTAAATCTTAACCTTTTGGTACTTAAATATATGCGAACTATTTTTCGACTGTCCAATCAACAGTGTTCCGGCTTATTTTTGCCTTTTATTACACATATATCAGTATAATATTATAACCGTTAGTATGAACGACATTTTCTTGATATCATTACATAAACTTTCTTTAGAACAGCTTTAGTTTGTGCTAAGTATTCATTAGCTAACTTTTTGGTATACAATTTATGAATATTTTAGAATTAATAATCTAAAAAGACTTCAAATATGTAATGCAACGTCAGTATTATATCAATAAAGTTTTTGTGCAGCTTAGTGCTCATTTCATTTTCAATGTTCAGTTATGTGTGTACGCTTTTTTTTACTGTTGATGTTACAAAAATGTTAATGTTGTAAAGCATATTGAAGATCAGTATCAACACATATAAAAGTATAACTGATAACACTTGCAGAGAGAATTGTACTTAGAGTGACTAAACTGCAACGTGTAATTCAATTCCAAATTATATACGGTTAAACAAATTTTTTGACAGGCTCAAAGGAACAGAATGATACGTATATAAAATCAGTAATCATGACATTTTACTGTTTATTTATAATTCTTCACTAGCTACACGTTCTAAGGTGAAAATGGTAAGCTGTTCTTATTTTTCACTACGACAAATATAAATTTTAATAGATTATATTTATCAGTTATTACTTGAAAATTAATATACAGTTTAGCTCAGTGTTTAAGACATTAAAGTAACGAGGAACTAGACCTTTGGTCTTTTTTCAACACCCTTGCACTATTTAGGAATGACTTTCAAAAGGACGTAACTGCTGCAGTACCGTATTTGATATTAGACATAAAAAGCTGGTTAAAATAGTGCCTGTTCAGTTCTGAGTTTAGTGTAATTACTCTAAACTCAAGTAAACGCAGGCAATATCAAAAAAATTTTTTTTGTTTGTACGATGCTCCTTATAAAGGTACATCTGAAAATACAAAAATTGAACATATGTAGTAGACAGCTGACGGCTCAGTTATTATAAAAAGATTTTTATATGCATCTATATTTTGGCAGTTATAAACAATTATAAAGTTGGTATTTTATCACAAAATATAAATGAAATTTCTTATTAAAGTCATACAAATTTTTGTTATTAAGAGAGTGCTGAATAAAGACAGGTATTTTTTTCAGATGTCTTTGGCCGGACTGCATTAGAAAAAATATACGAATATCTTGCGGTCTACTCCAAAAAGATTGGTAACTATACAGATGGAATGGAATGTGGTGGTTGAGCTGTTAAAAGTAATAGTAGTGAAGTGTGAGGCGATTCCAAATTGTAAGTTTTTTCTTTAATTTGTTAACAAACGTCAAGAAGCAGAATGCAATAATATAATAAGAGGTTTGACATACTGTAAGAAGATTTAGAAATTAAAAAAATTTGTAGCAGTGGGTAACCAGCTGAAGTCAGATTGAGTTTGCAAATTTATAACTTGTTCCAGCAAACTTTAAACCGATTTTTAAAATTAAAATTATAGTCTTAGTTAAGAGATCAACACTAAAGTTGTTTACCTTATGCAGCAAGTGAAGGTACAACAAATCGCTTGAGCTTCTGCCAGCAGGGTAATTTATTTTGATTGTCTTTTCTTAAATTATTGGTATAGTCAAAACAGAGTTTTTGCTGTTAATACTAACTTATTTTTGGAGTTAGAGAAAAAAACGTAGAAAAGAGTAAGTTTGTTAGTTGCTAACTTTTACTTTCTTTTCTCTTTACTGTAAAAAAACTGGTGATTTTCTCAGCTTTTGAGGGATAGCTTAAAAATTCAAAAAAACCTTAAAACGTGCAAGGCTGTTTTCTGTCAGTTTGTTCGACAACAGCTCTTCGGTTTTCAGATTTGACATTTCCAGTCAAACACTAAATAAAATCAATAATTTGTTCTGATATTTGACTTAAAGATCGCTGACAATGCTTCGAATTGATAGCCTTTTATTGAATTCACGTAGAAGTCTGCATTCGAAGACAGTGAAAGTTTTTCATTTTGTGCTCCTGGTTTAGAAAAAAAGTTATGTCAGCGACTCTTACGTGATAGGCTTGTCAAAAATTGAAATAGTTTCTGACTGAATGAGGACCAAACTTAAAAACTCGCTTTTTCACTAACATTGGTGCTCTAACATTTAGCATTGAGGTTGTTATTATGTTGCCAGCTCTGTATTAATTCTTGTGATTCTTACTTTGTCAAATGTTTTGAATCGACCAATAAATAATATAACTATGGTTCGTTCTAACAGAAATGTGTTCACTTTATAAGTAAGATTTTTCCCACAGAAGCGGAGTGCCGTTAAAAGCAAAAAGTAGCAAATGAAGCTTTCATACGAGCAGAGACTTGTGTTAAGTCATAAAAGCCTTTTAAAATTTCTGATATCTTAGCTAGACTGAAGTCTTCTGAGTGAAAAGTCTTTCTGCTTGAAAATCTTCGCTGTAAGGTTTATTACAGAAGTTTCAATATAGGTAACTTTGAAGAAGCTTGCTTGGATGAAAGTAATAACAGTATTTGTAGGATGAAGAATTGTATTATTTTTTATTGCTTAAATTTTATTCAACACTGCTGGACGACTGTACACGTGCATAACCTTTCAATTCTTTTGCATAAAATTAATAAGCATTATCAAAATTTTGAAGCTTTTTAGCACATTCCCTACATGACCACTGAAATGTTCTAGAAGAAGGACACTGTCGATGTAAATTGTGACTTCTGTTGATGAGCATCTTGTTGCATTTGAACTAATTTCATGCAGTAAAAAGTGATGTTTCCAACTTGAGTTTACACAACACTATACTGAAACTTCCGTAGAATTTACGCTTAAGAATTTAGCTATTGTGCAGTGCTTTGGTGAGTTACTATTTATCCAAGGGAAGTGTTTCAGATACTCGAGGATATAAAGATCCCAGAACATCATGACTTTGTTATCTTTTACTATAATGTTTCGTACAAGTTTGCCAAAGAAAATTATTCTAAAAAAAAGACTGTTTTGTTTTATGCAACATGTATAACTTTTTTGTATTAACAGACTGTAACTGATAAAGTAGTAACGCATGTCTGATTTAATCAATGTCTCCCCAACTGCAACTTGTAACTGGTTAACAGTCGTAGCTGTTTTAAAACTTAACGAATAGTGCTTTTCATAAGAAGTTTACGATTACTACTGTGTCACTTTTTTCGCCTACGCTTGTCAGAAAGTATTGACTATTAAAAAAACACCTTCTTTGTATGCCGTACCAGGCAAAAACACAACTTTGAAGGAAAGTGTGCATAAATAACATAAAGCAATTCTCTTCAACATTTTTAAAAACGGCACTTTCTCTTTTTAGATTTTCCGCAATAAAGGCCCAGAGTCTTTTGTTAAGAAACAGTAACTATGAAAAAAATTTATACGTTGAAAAATTTGAAAAAAATTTGAGAACATAAGCACTTGTTGCTGAAAACAACATCAGTTTTTTGAATCTTCCTCATCTGCTGTGCAACCGTTGTATAAAGACTAAATCCATAAACTAGTCTGTAAAGCACGTAATTTTCATTATTACCATTCTTGATGAAGAACAATTATCGTTCAATTTACGCATAAACTTTCGATAAAATCTTTCAAGTAACAAAGAACCTTTCTTTAGGAATGTTAAATAATGATACTTCAGTCGTCCACTGTGAGTGTATCAGCAAAAAATCTTCACTGACGTGAGCTAGAAGAATAAGTTCTGCGGCAGTAGCAGCAGGAGAGTTCTAGATGTTAGTTCTGAACATTGTTAAGACAGACCTTCCGCTTGTGAATTCATTAGTTTTAGAAAAATCTGTAAAGGTTTGTTTGCAGAAAAGCGTTTAATTTTACAAGTCAGTGAATTAGTTTTTTGCCAAAAACCAGTCTGTCAAACTCTTTTAGTTCCAACTTTGTTTGTACTTTTTTTTTT